CAAGGCCCCATCTTGTATTCCTTTGTTGATAAATTTGGCCCTCTTTAAGAGTTGTGAACTTCAACCCCAAGGATCCCCCAGCCAGCCAGGGTGGCTAGGGAATCCTGGGTGTTGAAGTCTACACCTCTTAAAGTGGCCAACTTTGACCAACACTGCAATACAGGATGGGCCTTTGGTTTTTCTCCTCACAGGAAAACAGGACTGCACAGATTAATGGAGGAAGAGTGTTGGCCTGATGTCGCCACCCAGCTGTAAAAATTTTAGAGAGCAGCCACAGATAGTACCTCATCCCATTTTCCCAGGCTATTCAACCGAATATTATGCCAAAAACTAGTATAAGATGTTTTACCATCAGTAGTACTAATTGATAAAAAGGACAGTTCATTTTCCAAACATTTTTGGAGATGCAATGATCAGACTGCATCCTTTTTCCATATTTGGTGGTGAAGTTGAAGAGCGCAACCATTTTTAAAAATGATTTAGAATAGCATGAAACAAATTTTCAAAATCAGTTTTGCTTTTCCATCTGCAATTGTTCTATTAAATATGACTAAACTTTATATTCCCACAAGGTATAGTGAATTAGTTCTGTGCATGGTAACTAGAAAAACAGGTTCAGCTCTTTCTGACAATATGCCTCAACGTCCCAAATAATTTCATACTTCAAAAGTAAATCTGACACAGAATTTAATTCAAGGTGGAAAACATTATATCAGCTAGTACCGTGTTTAAAAGTTAAGTTTTTTTAAAGTCTTTAATTGCTCAGATAAAAATTACTGTAATTCTTAATCTTATTTTATGATATAACTGCATTAACTATTGCTCTTGATATTCATAGATGACTTGAATTTTAGCAACAAACAATAGCTTTTAAAACAATATAGTATTTTCAGCTACTTAAACTAATCAATGACATTTTGAGAAGTTTAACTTAATTCTATAATGCTTGTAAGCTCCATTTATCTCCTTTGTTCTTTATTTTTACTTTTTCACCTTTTCCATCCCTTTTTCTTGTGTGTATCCATTCATTCATTCATTCATTCATTCATTCATTCATTCATTCAATTTGTATAGCCAGCCATGTCACCAAGTGACTCTGGCTGGTGAACAAAATTTAAAAAATAAAAAGAATTACAGTAATACACCTTTTCCTTTTCTTTCTCCTTTTCTTAAAAATGCTTAATAAAAATACCAACACCATTATCATCAAGCTGAATTAGCAGATTTATATGGCAGCAAAGGGATATAGAAAATAAGCTTTGCTTCCACTTAGTGGTGTTCAGATACCCATTTCACAGGAAGTAAAATTGGTGGAAGTTGAGAGATGAGTCATTTTTCCAGCTAAATCTGGACCAGACACCCTTCTGGGACTATGTTTAAGACCAAGCTTGCAGTAAGTGAATGGTGATAATCCAGCCCAGTGTTTCTCGGACTTGGCCACTTTAAGACTGGTGGACTTCAACTCCCAGAATCCCCCCGTTTGCTGGGAATTCTGGGAGTTGAAGTCCACCTGTCTTAAAGTGGCCAAGTCTGAGAAACACTGATCTGTCCACTGCCACTGATAACCTAACATTCTGGGAGTTGAAGTCCACCTGTCTTAAAGTGGCCAAGTCTGAGAAACACTGATCTGTCCACTGCCACTGATAACCTAACATTCTGGGAGTTGAAGTCCACCTGTCTTAAAGTGGCCAAGTCTGAGAAACACTGATCTGTCCACTGCCACTGATAACCTAATCCAGGATCCTTGCAACTCCCAACCTCCAGAAATCTTACCTATCAGAGTGGACTTTTCAACCATAAAGGACTCCAGCAATTCAACCCAGCTAAGCCCCCACCCCCACCCAAAACGAAAGGGCACCCAGAATCTCTAACCGGCAAAGCAACGATCCTTCTTGCGCTGCAGGATATTTGAAATATAGGCGATGCTGCATGGAGAGAACTTGTCATTATTGAATTCGCTCCCATCCGTGGCATAATTGAACATCAGATATTTTCCCCGGGTGGTGTTGATGTCAAAACGGGAACATTCTTTGCTCTCGTCATGCTAAAAGAAATGGTAGCAAAGTAAGACCAACGGTGGACATTTGGCTGGAGTTAGAAGAGTCGGATTTAAAGTTTTAGAATTTCCAGGAAATCCAGGGTTAGGGTTAGGGTTAAATCCGGGGAAAGAAAGACTCACATAGGCCCCCAGGCTGTGCCCAAGTTCATGTGCGAGTGTAATGTGGATCATCCTTGGAGGAAGAAGCTGGCCGTACTTCTGTAGCGTGATCAGCCCTGTGTTCAGGGAGGCCTCCTTGTCCTGGAAACGTCGGTATTTTGAGCAAATTCCTCCAGCGTCATCTGCAAGCAAGAAGAAAAAGTGAAGATTCGCTTGTCGCACCCAACGATCCCAAGCGATGCAGAAGTCCTTTCTCCACCAGGAACTTGGAGAACTACTAGGAAGTTCTGCAAACTTTATCTGCTGTGGCAGAAGGCAGGTTTTCATGTTTGCATTGTTTTTTGTATTGTATGATATTGTATTTTTGTATGGTGTTGATTTGATGGAAGTCAAAGGTGGAAGGAAGGAGAAGAAGACAATCAGCAGTGAGGTGGGTGGACTTGATTACAGAGGTGATGGGGGCACTGTTGGAAGATCTGAAGGGTGAGATTGTCTTGGGGAAAATCTGTCTATGCGGTCACTAAGAGTCCACACTGACTTGATGGCACATAATTGATTGATCAACGTGAAGACCTAGCTCTCCTAAGAATTTTATAATGCTGGGAAAGGTGGAAGGAAAGAGAAGAGGAGGATGACCAGTAGCAATGGGGATGGACTTAGTTACAGGGGTGATGGTTGCACCTTTGGAAGATCTGAAGGACCAGGTTAGAAATAGATCTTCTTGGAGAAAATCTATCGATGTGGTCCCTAAGAGTTGACCCCAACTTGATGGCAAATATTCAATCAATTTGTGCAAAGACCCAGCTCCCTTGAGAAGTCCATAATGTTGGGAGAGGTGGAAGGAGAGAGAAGAAGAGGATGACCAGCAGCAAGGAGGATGGACTCAGTCATAGCAAAGGAGGGCACTGTTGGAAGACCTGAAGGACCAGCTTAGGGACAGATGTCGTGGAGAAGATCTATGTATGTGGTTGCTATGAGTTGACAATGACTTGGTGGCACACATATCAATCAATCAATCAATCAATCAATCAATCGACTTTCAAGTTGGAAGTCCAGAGGTTCAGGGAGCAGGAGATGGAGAAGAAAGTCTTCTGCATAAGACACTGGGACACACCTGCTGCCATAAGGCCAGCAACTCTGGGGCAGGGAGCATTCATAAAATGGTGCAGTGGGCATGGCCTCTCACAAAACATCTGATTGCTTTTGGGCAAAATGGTAAATTGGCTTTCCATGTTCTTCTTTTATTCCTAAAGATGCTCCTCACCCCTCCAGCATACCCGTGTCTTTTTTCAAGGAAGGTCAGCCCATTCCCAAGCCAAATTGCCAGTTTGTGTGTGAGGGGGTCTTCCCTCTTTTTTCTGCCTTCAGAACCCAACCTATTTTTCCTACTTTGGCAGACAAAATGCAGGAACAAAGATGACAAGATTGTTCCCTGACTCACATGAGTTGGTCATGTCCAATCATGGCTCTTTCTGTTCTCAGGTTATTATGTAGGCCAGTGTTTTTCAACGTCAACCATGATGGCTGGAGAATTCTGGGAGTTGAAGTCCAAAAATGCTGGCTGGGGAATTCTGGGAGTTGAAGTCCACCCATCTTAAAATGGCCATGGTTGAGAAACACTGATGTAATATAGCCTTGGGGGAAAATATATAATAGTTCAGGAGGTAAATATGATGCTGAGTTATGCAAAATATTCATCATTTTATGAAGAACTCTGGGTTTATTGAGCCGGGGACTCAGCAAAGTGAATTATTTTACACAGATGAAAAGACATGGATTTCCCTTGGGAATAAGGAAAGGGTTCAAGAGATGCTTTGCTGATCATTTTTTGAAGCATTTTCATCTTGTAAAAATGACGGAGCAATATATTGGCAGGTGGTCTAGATTTCATAGTAGGTTTAAGGACTGAATTAATTTTATATGGGTCTTATGCTTTTCTTGCTTCGTTTCCTTGTTCTCTTCCTCCTTCTCAGTTTTTCAGTTATTGTAACTTTTCTTCCTGTAGCAAGAATGCCTGTGGTGCCCAAAAGGTATTTTTGACTATAGATAATGCTGGAGGCTGTTGTTTTGTTTCGTAACCAACCCCTGCGTCATTTAATTTATTAAAAATATTCAGCAGTTCTGGTAGGGCGTGGTCAAAAAAGTCAAGATGGCGGCCACAGTGGCGTGATGGAAGACCCTCTTGTTTTTTATGTGTCTTTCACATGCAACGTGCATACCAAAAACGGGTGGAGTATCAATTACCTCATCACAGCCACCATCTTGCCTTTTTTGACCATACCCTGCAGACACTCCCTGAAAACATTACATCTGATGGATTTGGGACCGTAGTGCGGGCGCTTCGCCGCTGATCTTTCTGACTTCCTCCGTTCCTGTATAAAACTGTCCCGGTTTTCAGAACCATGAGGACTAGAATCTTACCTCTGGAGGCAAAGAGGAAGCAGCAGGACCTTTTTCTTTGGGAGTTAGAAGTTCTGGTGGGCAGAGGATGACCTAGATCCCGCTACCCACCAGAATCCTGCAGGAGCCTCACCTGGTTGCCCATTGAAGGCAATGCCAAGAACGCCACTGTAATCCCGGTCGGTCAGCAGGTAAGATAAGCAGTGACTGTCCCAGTTGGCTTTCGAATGCAGCATAAGAAGCACCTCCGGACTGAGGAAAGGGGGCCTGGAAGGGTCTTCTTCTTGGATGATCTGCAGAAGAGGGACGACCCCGAAGCAGCAACGGATGAGAGGATGACACAGATGGGATCTCAGCCCTGCCTGCTTGCTGGCCAGATTTTCATACATGCATCCCTTGTCCAATCCATTCTGGAGATCCCTTTTGGCTGGCAAGGAAATGGCGGGCACACTCCCAAAATGGTGGCCATCGTGGATATGATGGATGTGGCCAACCACCAAAAGAGGTTTGCTCCTCATGGTCATCCCTCGAGATTCCCCTGTTCCTCTGAGCAACTCTGTTTTTTTTCTGGGCAAAAGAAGCGGTGGGGTATAGGGCAGGTCTCCCCACAGCCCCCCAATGATTCTGGGGTCTAGGGCTGGCGCAGAGGCACTTCTGGGACTAAGGAAGGTGGCCGGCTTGGCAGCAAGACAAAATCTTGTTTATGCTTTGGAGATCCACCTAAGTTTTAAATCTTAAGTAACCATACCACGGAGACCTTAGTAGTTGGTCTTAAGCTTAAGACAGAAATCTTTATCATGAAACGAATAATTTGGTCTATCTTGAAGTGGTTTATTAATGCCGCACTGAGTTTTCGATGCACGATTTAAATAATGTTATGCTTTATCAACATTGACATTTAAGAAATCACAGCTAATATTGATATAAACTTCTTTTTCTTTATCTTTCAGTTATGTAAACTAGTATTTCTCAACCTCAGCAACTTTAAGATGTGTGGACTTCAACTCCCAGAATTCCCAGCCAAGGCCTGGCACTTCAGAACACATCTCCCCATCACTGATAGGCTGGAGTAGCCAAGCCACGCCTACTGCTGCCTGGATGGCCAATGGGAAAGGGGCCAGTGATGGCATGAAGCCTCGCCAGTACCCTTCTGGCACAAAGGCTCATGGGATATCAGTGGGTGGGGCTGCCAGCATAGCTGGCTGGGGAATTCTGGGAGTTGAAGTCCTCACATTGTAAAGTTGCTGAGGTTGAGAAACACTGATTTAAATATTAGTGTTAATAAGCTCTAGTCAATACTGTATAAATATCCACTGTATTAAATAATATAATGTACTACTTATGTTTCACAATAACACAATAAAACAATCATAGAAGAAAAAAATAAATAAATGAAGCACATGTAAAAAAACCCCCAACCCATAAAATTAAGCCAGGGAGGGCCACGTAAGGGACTGAGGCTCTATTTGAAACTTGGCAACTTTAAGATGTGTGGACTTAACTGGGTTAATAATCAACATTTGGGAAAAGTGGCAGCCCCACCCACTGATATCCCATGAGCCTTTGTGCCAGAAGGGTACCGGCGAGGCTTCATGCCATCACTGGCCCCTTTCCCATTGGCCATCCAGGCAGTAGTAGGCGTGGCTTGGCTACTCCAGCCTATCAGTGATGGGGAGATGTATTCTGAAGTGCCAGGCCTTGGCTGGGAATTCTGTAACAGAGAAACTTGATTTTTTTTAATAATAATTTTATTAAATATTACGATTAAAAAGATAAAAACTAATACAAACTAAAAAAGAAAAGAATAAAAAGAAAAATAGAAAGTGCAGAAAAGAAGAAAAAAAGAAAAAGAAAAATAGAATAAGAATATAGTAAAGAAAAAGAAAAGAAACTTACATAAGGAAATGACTTCCCCCTTCATCACAACAAGTATAAACAATCTTAATAACTTATCACCTTTTCTTAAAATACAGGTAGTCCTCACTTAACGACCATTCGTTTAACAATGGTTCAAAGTTATAACGGCCTCAAAAAAGTGCTTTACGACTTGTACTTGCACTTACGAGCATCGTACCATCCCCTGCAATCACGTTATCGTGATTTACAAACATTTTTATGAAAGATGTTAAGCAAATCATGTGGTTGTTAAGAAAATCCCATGGTCATTATGTGAATTCCAGCAAAAAACGTCCATTGGGGAAGCTGGATTTGCTTAACAACCACAGTGATTTGCTTTATGACCATCATAAAAATGGCTGTAAAATCAGGTCTGGTCATATGGTGACTCGCTTAATGATCGCCCCACTTAATGACCAATTTTCCAGTCCCTATTGTGGTCATTAAACAAGGACTACCTGTACAACAAATAATCTCTTCTTCCCATATCTCATCTCTTATCTATAAACAAATCCTTAAAGCCTCGTCATTCAGTCCTGATCAGCAAAAGTCCATT